TGACGTGACAAATTGAAATTGTCCGTCACAAGGGCTGAATGGCCCGATCGGGGGAGGGCACGGGACCTCTGCTCTCCCGAGACAGCGAGAGAGAGAGAGAGAGAGAGAGAGAGAGAGAGAGAGAGAGAGAGAGAGAGAGAGCGTGCGTGCGAAAAGCGCGGGACCGAACGCGATCCCGCTGCTACGCGTTTTCGTATATTTTTTTTGTTGAGAGTTAGGATTATTTCGGCGGCAGACAGGATGTGCGACGAGTCTCAGCCGAGGGAGAAACCCTGGAGGAGAAATAGGAAGGCATAGGAAGCAGGACGACGGGGACCCCCTTCGTCAGGGACACGCCCGGTAAGCCCAAGATTCAAAATTTCTTCACCGAACATCCGCCAACGGAGTAGGTGCCACTGCCTAAAAATTTGTACCTTCCAGGAGCGAGCAGGGGATGGCCACTCGGGTGCAACAAGCACCCGAGTCCCCGCATACGGAGCGCCGGCAGGAGAGCTGCCGCCCCCGGGACATCCGGAATCCCGAAGGAGAACAAGGAGCGGCCCTGCCGTGCGCTGCCGCGACGACCGCCTACGAAGGGCAACCCGCGGATCAGGACTCCGCGGGTAAGGATAATTAAGCGCGCGGCCGCAAGGATCACCGAGGCCGCGCGCGCGGCCGACCTGATAGCGCCGCGAGTGGCCTATCTAGGTAATTGGGTCACCGACGTGTCTCCTGAGGGCCCCCGGTTCGGCACTGTCTAGCGAGCGCCTGAAGAGAGTGGAGGTCCCGAGACGGAAGCGCGACTTAGAGAGAGCGAGAGAGGAGAGGACGATAAGGATCGTTACAGGACTGGTGAGACGACGTGGTCATCCTGCTGTCGCCGAATTAAGGTAGCAGGGTGGATGGGTCCCGAATTACCTATCGTTAAGAGATTATGCCGGATTTGGTTGCCGGCCCGTTATAAAATTGCGAGAGATTAGTTTTATTGTCGAGTCGCGGTATTAACGTAACGAAACTCTATTGGGAGAAACTACGACCCATTCACTCTCTTGCGTTTCCGCATATTCTCTCTCCCGCGTGGACAGTCTTCGCGCGTAACATTGTCGCGCGAAAATTACCGCGATTTACGCGTTGCCGAATATTGTTCGAGGCGAAAAATCGGGGAGCTCATAAACGCTTTCGGGCTCATTAAAGTATTGATGTTGTCTTAAAAGAAAAGGCGTGATTACGTTTAATTTTGTGTATGGAATTTATGTACGGCGCACGCGGTGCGCCCTTACGCCGGCCCCTTTGTTGTCGCGCATATCGCGCGGATCTCGCGCCCGCGGCGTGGAGTAATATACCCGGTGGCGCATCGCCGATTTAATTAATCATTTTTTTTGTTATTGGAGACACTACCTCGTTGCCGCGAATTAGTTAAATATTATTCATAACTCGGCACGACAAACCACCGGTCGTATTGCCTCACCAAACTCTCAATCGTGCGTCTGTGCACGCCGCTTATTTCTGTATATTATATACTCATGTGTCTTATGAACAAAATTTAAATATATGTTTTATTAACTTTAATTCCTCGGGTGATTTCTCGCCGCCACGCACCCGAACCCTTACCCGTACGGAGGCTAGCCGAGCGGGAAAGCTGCCGTCGCGATCTCTCTCTCTCCCGTGATTGACGCCCGCGAGAGGGCTGGGACAATAAGTCCGAGTACATCAAGACTTAGCGTCCCGCGAATTTATTAATTGCGAGACGGTGCGGCTGCCGCACCTGGCGCCCAACTAAATCGAGATTTTAGTTTTCTTTTGATTTTTTTGTTATAATTTTTTTTTGTGATCGGACGGAGAGATCGCGCCGAAGGGAACCGATATTTCGCAGGAGACTTTTCTCCTTACGCGACGAATTGATATTCGCTGCGAATTTCGCGCGATACGGTTATAATATATATATATATATATATATTTTTTTTTTCTTGTCACATATAAGAATATAAAAAAATGTTTAATAGTATATATATATATATATATATATATATAATATATATATATTATATATATACACTCACCTGAGCAACAAACCATAACATATATAATATATTATGCTATATAAATTAAATTTTCAATTCATTTTGCATAAATGGTAGTAATATGAATATAAAATGATATGCATTAAAATATATAAAAAAATATAATATATGTTTTAATATTTAAAGTATTATTTTTTTGTCTCATAATAAATCATGTAGTTTTAATCATATCTTATATACCTATAAATAAAAAATAAATATATGTAAAAAAATATTTTAAAAAATTAAAAAAAAAATATATATATATATATATATATATATATATATATATACAGGGTGTCTGGTAATAATCGCCCCAACGATTATCGATGGATTCTTTGGTCAATTTGAAGACGATTTTTCCTCAGTGAAAATGTCGAGAAAAGTCATCATTTTTTGCAAGCTTTCAATTCTTGTTAATATGTATATATCTTTGCAACTATAAGCCTCAAATTAAAATTTTATTAAAATAAACTCTATCTAAAATAATTAACTAAAAAATGTAATTATATTAGTTTTTTTATTCTACAAAATTTAGTTTTTAAAAAACCCGTTTTTTTCAATTGTTAATAATTCGAAAATTATTGACTTCTTAACATTTTTGTTAAGGAAAAATCGTCTTTAAATTGGCCAAAGAATCCGTCCTTAATCGTTGAAGCGATTATTATCAAACACCCTGTATATATATATATATATATATTGTTACGTCCGCGCGCACTCTTCGGGTTATCTCACAGAAATGTCGCGCGCACTCAAACTCTCACACGCCGGAAATGAATACACTCGCGTAGCAAAGCAATGAACTTTAATATTACAAGCCAATATACCGTAGCGATACAATATAATATAACGTGCATTAATCCTAATGCAATATGTCGGCCAATCAGCTGTCGGAGGATACGTCCTCACCGCACGACAGACAGATCAGAACAACCACGCGACGATTAATATAAACAACTTCTTAGCGACGATAGAAGACCCTGATAGAAGATCCTGACGATCGCAAAATACAGGAACGTATCGTCAAACGGGCGTAACACGGATATAACAATATATATGTATATATATATATATATATATAAGTGTAGATAAAAAGAAAATCTCAATGTAAAATGTTAATATCACCAGCTTTAGCGATACCCGACGCGCACCAACGATGATTGCGTGACAAATTGCTAATGAAGATCTCCTTCGCAGAATCAGTGATCAAACAATTAAAAGACGTTTACGTGAACGTAGTTTAAGATCGCGAGTTCGACATTTTTCTCTTCTAATGGTTGGAAAAAATGTATGATCCATACATTTGGAGAGAAAAATGTCGAACTCGCGATCTTAAACTACGTTCACGTAAATGTCTTCTAATTGTTTGATGAAAAAAACACCTTACTTTTTAAAGGGGCGAAGAGAGGGGGAGAGAATGAAATCAAAATCGAACGAAAGTTTCTTAAAGTAGACCCTTCACCCTTTAAAACAAAAAAAATTTTCAAATACGATAATTTTTCACGGAGATACGCTTATTTGAATTTCCGCAAAATTTTAATAGTATTTCTTTAAATAACTGTTTCTCATTTCCCCCTTTTTTTAAGAATTATAATTTGTTCCATCATTTTTCAATTTAATAATTTGACAAATAGAATTTATTTTTTTTATTGAAAGGTGTGTTTCGTGAATTCTCTCGCGTGTAAAGTCCCGGGTATAATTTTGAATCTCCACGGGCGACGCGAGCCGAAGCACAGGCTTCTAGTTTTTATTTAATGCAGCAGTACGGGCGCGATGGTATGAGAGTTTGATTGAAATAAACTGTAATGACTTGATCCTCGTATAATATTGATTTATTAAAATTATGCGCGACTATGTATTGCGATGCGCTTCTCGAGACATGAAGATTAGCAAGTGACCTGTGCGAATTTATTTCAGGCCGCACAGGCAAGCCTTCGTTGTCGATCCGAAAAAGCCCGATACATCCCGGAATCCCGCGATTGATATTTTGACCGTTCATGTTCATGTGATTGACCGTTTCTTCGTTCACGTGATAAGACCAAAACAAAGTGAGACAATGATGCTTATATATATATATATATAAAAAAGAAAACCGTGTCTCTTGTCTCGACCAGCACATCCCAACAGATACATGTCCAAACATCGTGCAAATTCGTGATATATAATAACATGGAATAATAATTCTAAACACCGGCCGCCTTGGAAGATGTCGTCTTACAATAATAATAAATAAACTCGGGGTCACATACATGCGGCAGGCATACAATATGATTGATACGCTTCGTCAAATAACAGTACAATGAATATGTATATTAAATAATATGCTTTGTAACGCAAAGAAAATAATAATATATAATGAGTAAAGTGTAGTATAAATGATAAGAGTCGTCCTCAATTCAAATATCTAAAGCGATTTAAATAATTTTGTCATTAACGCTATTTGATTATTCAGCGCGGTCAAACTTTATAACTAATTGCAAAAGAAACGTCCTGTTTTTTTGTTTTTTGTTTTTTTTTGCACTCATATAGCACGTTCATGTTATAAATGTAGTACAATTGATTGTCAAGCAACAAAAAACAATATATATGTTTTTACAAATGCTAATCTTCTAGAGGCAAAATTGATAATTTTGAAAGAGGCCTGACAAATGATCCCTTGGCCGTGATTATTGTGGCTGTACGGGCGATGCCATCAGTTCCAGGATGAATTTCCTTTACGCGGCCAAGCGCCCACTGCAGAGGCGGAAGGCCCGGTTGCATGACTAGCACCATCTTGCCAACGCCCATCTGCTCTCCCTTGTTGCTAGTCCATTTCTACCGCTGCTGCAATTGATTTAAGTATTCGCGGCTCCAACGACTCCAAAAATGCTGGCGGAGCTGCTCGACTCTCTGCAATCGTATCAATCGACCTTCCTTAATAATTAAATCAGTAAGGTCGTGGCATGGAAAATCACTCAATACCTCGCCAACCAGAAAATGCCCCGGCGTAAGATAGGCTAAATCATTAGGATCAGAACTCAGCGGCGTCAACGGACGCGAATTTAATACAGCCTCTATTTCGCACAACGTTGTCTGCAACTCCTCGAAAGTCAGGTGTGAGTCGCCCGCAACACGCTGTAGGTGATATTTCGCAGATTTTACCGCGGACTCTCAGAGCCCGCCAAAGTGCGGCGCTCCAGGTGGAATAAAACGCCATGATATTCTGGAGTCGCGACAAAACTGTTCTATTTTTTCTTTGGTTGATGACGCGCCACGAAACGCGTACAACTGTTCCAATTGGCGCGAGGCCCCCTTAAAATTAGTTCCATTATCGGAAAATATAGAAGTCGGGTACCCCCGCCGAGAAATGAAACGCTTTAAGGCCGCTAGAAAAGCGTCCGTCGTCAAGTCACTGACTACTTTAATGTGTACTGCTTTCGTAGCGAAGCACACAAATATACAAACATAAGCCTTACTATTTCGAGCATTTCGCCGCTTGCCTTCTCTTATAATGAGAGGCCCCGCGTAATCGATGCCGCAATTAGAGAACGGCCGCGAAGGTGTCACACGGGGCGCAGGTAACACCCCCATTTTCGCTTCTGATATCGCCGGCCTGCATCTAAAACAAATGAGGCACTGTCTAATATAAATAGTAACCTTTCGTGTGGTCGAGCGAACCGAGAGAGGCCAAAATTTTTGTCGCACCGCAGCCATAGTGCCCTGTAATCCAGCGTGCAAATTGCGTATATGTTCTTTCTTTATTACGAGCTGAGTGAGCCGATGATTCTTTGGGAGCAAAATTGGGTGGCGGGCATCGTACCTTAATTGTGATTTTTCGAGCCTCCCACCGACGCGAATCAGACCCTGTTTATCCAAGAACGGCGATAATGATTTTAATGAGCTAGCGGAAGTGAGAGCGTTTCCCTTCTTTAATTGCTCGAACTCGTTTGAAAAAACTTCCCCTTGCACCAGCTTGCAAATGTTTTCCAATGCGGCCGAGATTTCCACGTGCGAGACGTGAACGCCCACGTCTCCCTCGGATCGCAGACGCGGTCCAATAAATCGCCTGCAATATGCAACAATTCGGCATAATTTATCTAGACTCGAACATCTAGCTATAAGCTCCGAAAAGGGGCTTAGTGCCACCACGCCAGCGACAGCAGCAACTATCCGCCGCCTCTCCGGCATCTCGGACTCCGGGACATATTCGCCAACGCTTGGCCACGACTCCTCGCTGCTCTTTAACAACGCGGGACCTCGCCACCATAGCGCGGCATTCCCGATGTCATGCGGGTGGACGCCCCGAGATAGCAAATCCGCAGGATTTTCGGTTGTCGGCACGTGCCGCCAATCCAAACCGGAAGTTAACCGCTGTATTTCTCCGACGCGATTTGACACAAAAACCGACCATTTTCTCGAGCACGACGAAATCCATCTCAGCGCGATCGTGGAATCCGACCACAAAGTATACCGCACGTCCTTTATGTCAATAGATGAACGCACTTTGTCCAACAATTGTGCCAGCAATAATGCCGCGCAAAGCTCGAGTCGCGGAATCGAAATCGCTCTGAGTGGGGCTACTCTTGTTTTAGAGCACAACAGATCAATCTGTACTTCGTTCCCATGTATTTGTCTTCGAATATACAAACACGCGCCATACGCCCGCTGGCTGGCGTCACAAAACCCGTGTATCTGAACGCGAGCCCCCTCTTGATTTCTCCCTATAAACCTCGGGACGCTTAAATCATTTAATTCTCTTAATTGTCTCTTAAACGCGGACCACCTTGCATGCATATCCAGTGGAATCGATTCATCCCACTGTATTTTTAATTGCCAAATCTCCTGTAACAGCATTTTTGGTATGATAATAACCGGACCGATTAATCCCAACGGGTCAAATAATCTTGATATCTCCGACAATATTACGCGCTTCGTTATCTTGTGTGAGTCAGTCGGCAATTCAATCGCGAACCGAAATACATCCATCGACGGATTCCAAAGAATTCCGAGGATGCGCGACGTCGCGTCTCTATCAATTTGAACCTCGGCGTTATGTTTATCATACATATCATTTATCAATACTGATTCGTTTGAATGCCACTTGCTCAGTTGAAATCCGCCGCGGTTCAGAATCTTTACGATCTGGTTTTTCAATGCTAATGCTTCCTCGATTGTGTCCGCTCCCGTTAGCAGGTCATCAACGTAAAAATCGCGTTTTACTCGCCGGGATCCCGCGGGAAATTCCTCCGCGTACATCTCGGCCAAAAATTGCAGCGCTCTGGTAGCTAAATATGACGCGGTCGCTGTACCGTATGTCAACGTTATTAATTCGTATGTTTGCACGCTCGCGGTGGCCTCATCTCGCCACAGAACACGCTGCAGTCGCGTCTGCTGCGGATCGACCAATATCTGCCGGTACATCTTGGCGATGTCTGCGGAGAATACGAATCGAAAAATTCGAAACCTCGATACAATGGAAAATAAATCCTGCTGCACCGTCGGCCCGATCATAAGAGCGTCGTTCAAAGAAACCCCTGTCGAACTTTTGCATGAAGCATCGAAAACCACCCTGATTTTAGTCGTTTCATTTGACGTCTTTAATATACAATGATGCGGCAAATAGTACGTCGGCAATCCCTTGTCTTTGTCATTTTCCTCCCTTACTAATTTCATATGCCCAAGGGCCAAGTACTCGCGCATAAATGCCGCGTATTGCGATTTTAATCCCGGATCGCGATTCAGCCGTCTTTCCAGCCCGCAAAAACGCCGCATTGCTATGTCTCGCGTTTCCCCGAGATTCTCTAATTTCTGTTTAATAATCGGAAGCGTGACTATTATTCGACCCTCTTTATTTCTCTTAGTATTATCGAGGAAGTGTCTCGCAAAAACGCTCCGCGCTAGTGTACGAATCCGACGGCCGAAAATCTTCCTCGATCTGCCAGAATTTGGCTAATTGATTTTGCAAGGCGGCATCCGCCACCGAAATGTGAAACGCTCTCACTTCGCGCCCGCGGGCGTCGCAAGCGGTGACCTCCACGGCCGGCGACAATCCATCCGAAAAGCGTTTTTTGTAGCGTGGGATGCGATCGGGAACACTTCAATCTCCCCACACAAAGCAGCTGCCAAAATATATCGGCGCCTATCAATATATCGATATCGGAGCATTTATGAAATTCTGGATCAGCTAATTTAATCCCATTAGGTATTTGTATCCTTTCTCGATTAATAGGTGCCGTAGGTATCCGATCGGTTATGCGGTTCGTCAAAACGCACTCCAAACTTGCGCAGAAGCCGCTCAAACGAGAATGTAATTTTACTTTCACGATCTCGTTGGCGTCGCTTGTCATGCCATTTATTCCGGTGATTCTAACACTGCCCGTCGATGGCCTTAAGTTTAATCTCTCGACACAATCTCGCGTTATAAAATTCGCTTGCGAGCCGCTGTCCAGCAAAACTCGACATGATTGTCTCGTTCCAGTAGCATCTATTATATACACAATTGCCGTTGAAAGCAATACATGCGCGTTCCACGCGGAGGACACCTGAGTCATAACTATTTTTTCTTTTATCGTCTCCGGAGACGGCTCACCTTCGGCCTTTCCCTTTTCAGTAATGTCGCCCGAATCCGCCTGAAGATGAAGCATCGAATTATGTTTGGCTCCGCATGTTTTACACGCGCCCATTTTACATTTTGCGGCATAATGATTGCCCCCGCGAAGACAATTTGCGCATAGCTTGCGCTTCCGTATTTCCGCGATTCGTCGAGCGACCGGCAGTTTAATAAACTCACGACAATAATAAATGAGATGTTTTCCCTGGCAATATCCACACAACAAAGAGGCAGTCGCGACGTGAGCTGCCAAACGCTTTCCGGCGGGCTGAGTTTGTCCGCGATTCAACGATTCTAGCAAATTGCATCTGTGCTCCAAAAATTCTGAGAGCTGCTTGAACGCGGGTAACTCTGTCCCGGTCAACGACACCTGCCACTCTCTAGCAGTAATCGGATCGAATTTAGACGAAACTAAGTATTGATAAGCAGCGTGTCTCAATGCTCCGTGGGGCAATGCAGTGCCTTCAATGCTTGTATGTGTTTCGCGGCATTGTCCGCCACCCTACGCAGCTCAACAGCATTTTCTTTCGCGATATTCGGCAGCTCGAACAGGGCGCGTAGATGCGTATGCACTATAGCGCGTTTGTTATCATATCTCTGTTTTAATAAATCCCAAGCTACTTGATAATTTGAATCAGTCAATTCCAGCGATTGAATTATAATTGCTGCCTCGCCTGTCATAGATGCTCTCAAATATTGAAATTTTTGGAAGCCGCTCAAGGACGGATTATCATTTATTATGGAGTTAAACATTTCATAAAAAGGAAACCAATCCTCGTATTTTCCCGCGAATTTTGGTAGATATAATTTCGGTAATCGCACTCCGCATGCACACACACACACACACACACACACACACACACACACACACACACACACACAGAGGTGCCCGACTCGCCGACGGATACCGGGGTAGACACTGCGGAGCGGCTATTGGAAGGCACGCGATTATATCCCGCAATCTTGCAGCGCAACGCTGCCGTCAATCCGAAAAACATTTCTTCAAACGCCTCGCGATCTCCTCCCTCACCGTCGCAGATTGCCTCTATCTCAGATTGCCAGTCATACTCCTTCCAATAGCTAGCTAATTTATCTTTTCTTTCCTCTAAATTTGCTACCGTTTCCGGCGTCAATTGAGTCACCGAATCCGCGTATGTTTTTATTCGGGTACATGCAGCCTTTATCGACGTACGCTTTCTCTTTAGTGCTAAGATCTGATCCGAATGAGCCATAATCCACGCAATATATCGCTATCGTGCACAATATATATTGCCACAATAACAGTTCACCCGAAATGCGAAACGGAAATGAACACCCTGATTGGCAAGTGAGTAATTCTCCTACCTTGACCGTCGATTTGATCGCTCAGCTAATGCCTCATTGACCGCCTTTGGTTGTTCGTCCGCCAATTTCTCTGCATCATGGATCGTCACACGGGCTCCTCCGGGTTGGCAGCTCCTTATCTCATTTATTTCAACGGCCACTGATTGTATGCTTCAGGGATGTCCTCTCGATGGACGATAATCATTGCTCCTTGACCCTCTCGATGCAACTCCAAAGCGGCTCGTACCGTTAAATATTGTTGCGGATCTGACAAATTTCAGTTTGTCGCAAAGAATCCGGCTCGAAGGACCAAAATGTTTCGTGAATTCTCTCACGTGTAAAGTCCCGGGTATAATTTTGAATCTCCACGGGCGACGCGAGCTGAAGCACAGGCTTCTAGTTTTTATTTAATGCAGCAGTACGGGCGCGATGGTATGAGAGAGTTTGATTGAAATAAACTGTAATGACTTGATCCTCGTATAATATTGATTTATTAAAATTATGCGCGACTATGTATTGCGATGCGCTTCTCGAGACATGAAGATTAGCAAGTGACCTGTGCGAATTTATTTCAGGCCGCACAGGCAAGCCTTCGTTGTCGATCCGAAAAAGCCCGATACATCCCGGAATCCCGCGATTGATATTTTGACCGTTCATGTTCATGTGATTGACCGTTTCTTCGTTCACGTGATAAGACCAAAACAAAGTGAGACAATGATGCTTATATATATATATATATATAAAAAAGAAAACCGTGTCTCTTGTCTCGACCAGCACATCCCAACAGATACATGTCCAAACATCGTGCAAATTCGTGATATATAATAACATGGAATAATAATTCTAAACAAGGTGACTAATATATATTTTTTTGCAGGTTGAATCTATATATGAAGTTATTTATCGTGTTGTTTATCATTACGGGTATAAATTGGTTTCTGTATACGATTTTAAGGTTCTTTGCGGTACAATTATATAATATTAGTTATTACATTGATATTGTTAGTGCTTTGTTAAATGTAGTAGAGAATTTCTTCGTCTTTATCATATTTGTATGGAGAAAGAAAATCAAGTTGATGTTACTGAAACGATTCGGATTCAAGACGAATGCATCGGCTTGAATACCACTTTTGAGGAATCCATGCAGGAAAAGTCAATCTTTTGCGGAAAAGAAAAATATCACACGAAAAATTTGTTTAATGGGATTGAATTCAAATGTTGTCAGTGTGTAAAGAAAAGAGTTTTATCACATATCAAAAATCAACGATTAATCACAATTTAATATTATCTTAAAATTACAATTGACAATGTTATATTTTACATGATGTTTAGGTTTCTTTAAAAGATTTAATTTAAAATTTCAAAGGAAAAATTTGTTTTATCGATACATATAATTTAGTCAACTTTATGGTTAAATTTTGTAAACGTTTTTCTTCAAATAATAATTTTGTATGAAAGCTATACAATATATTGTGCTATATTATTAAATATAAAAAAGATTTCTGATTCAAATATAAAAATATATTATATATTTATAAATATATGTATGTGTATATAAAGGCAAATTAAAATTTGTTTTGAATTGGTGCCTATATGGTCCATACAAATAAATTATGAATATTTTCAAACGCGACTGTGTTTAATGTAATTATTGTTTAAAAATGGTATTTTTTGTAATATGTATTCAATGTAGCTAAGCTATGACAAAAGCGTGTTTATACATACATATATATATATATATATATATATATATATATATTATATACACATACTCACATTCGATGCTAAGAATATTTTTTATAATTATATATATAAAGAACTAAGAAGTCACCAGTCGATAATTAAAAATGGTAATAATTTCGTCAACTATATCTGGCTATAAATACTATTTATTAAACTTTACGACGTTTCGGCCATGGGTTTCGGCCCTTATCAATTATTACCATTTTTAATTATCGACTGGTGACTTCTTAGTTCTTTATATATATAATTATAAAAAATATTCTTAGCATCGAATGTGAGTATGTGTATATAATATATATATATATATATATATATATATATATATATGTATGTATAAACACGCTTTTGTCATAGCTTAGCTACATTGAATACATATTACAAAAAATACCAGTGCTATAAACAATTGATATATAATTAAATTAATAATATTACAGATTAATACAAATTAGGTTAGATTAGATACGACTTTCAACCTCTCTCAATTTTTATATGTGATCGAGTTTATCATGGATTCGACTAGTTTTGTTTTTAACGGTCAATATTATGAACAAATTTATGGTAGTCCTATGGGGTCTCCGCTTTCACCAATATTAGCTGATATGGTGATGGATGATCTAGAGACTGAGTGTCTGGAAATGTTGGGTTTCGAAACTATGCCGTTTTTTAGATACGTGGATGACATTTTCACAATTATCCCTCAGGGGTGTGTTGATGAAATTTTGTCAACTTTTAATAATTATCATCCAAGATTAAAGTTCACGCATGAGATTGAAAATAATAACATGATTAATTTCTTAAACACTACAGTAATTAGGAAAAATAGCAATTTATTAACTAATTGGTTTTTGAAGCCCACAAGTTCAGGCAGATATATTAATTATTATTCCAATCATCCGTTTAAATATAAAAAGAATACTATTTTCAGTTTAGTTGATCATGCGGTGATGCTATCTAATGAATGTTTTCATCAAGCGAACATCCTCAAAGTAAAAACGATATTGATGAACAATGGTTTTCCTTCGGACATTGTCAATAAGTTTGTAAAAAACAGATTAAAATTACTTAGTACACGAAACAACGATGATTATATTAATAA